AAGTAAGAAGGAAAACTTGGGGATTTCTTCCTCCAGATAAAATGCATATTGTACTGCTTCAGCACTGATTAACAGATAAGTTTGATATCAAATAAGTTCCATTTATTTCTTTAAAAGAATGACTTTCATTCTCTTGGGAGTTGTAAACCAGGTACCAAAAATGATTCTGAGACAAGCTTAGACTCTTAAGATATTTTTATACCAAAACGGTGTGTAGGTCCTAATGCCATGCTTTGTCCTTCAGAGGTCTCAGTGTCTAACAGGATGACCCACAGCCGTCAAGTCATTTCTGACTTGTAGTAACTCTGTTGTTAGGTGCCACGGAGTCTGTTCTCACTTATAAGGACCTTCTATCTACAAGAAGACAAAATGCCACCTGTTGCCGCCCCATCCTCAAAATTACTACTGCGCACGGAATTTGGCATTGTGACAATCCATCTGCCTCAGGGTCCTCCGTGTTTTCACTGACTCTCTACTTATGTTACCAAGCATGAAGTGAATCCTTTTTCAGGGACTGGCCCCTGTGATAACACATCCTAAGTATGTGTGACAAAGTCTCACCGCATTTGCTTCTGTGGTGCTTTCTGGCTGCAATTCTCTGAAAACAGATTTGCCTGTTCTTCTGGCTGTCAAGCACAGGCGGTCTTCTTTGCCACCAGCAGCAGAAGACTGTCCCACGGGCTTCCAAGTTTATAACCTCTACTGCCGCCTCCTTTCCCATGGTGTGCTGGGGAATCGGGAGCACGGGCCTTTCAGTTAAGCAGCTGTGCACTCACCTAATGCAAAACCAGGGATCTTTGCTAAGAGCCACTTTGGGGGTCACATAATGACAAAATGCATGGGGAAAATTCTTCTGTTTCCTTCATACTATTTCCTAATAATACTCCCCCTCCCCTTGATTTTTCAAAGCCGGCTGCTTGCCCTTCTGATAATCATCCCTTTTTACTACTCTATCCCTACAAAAGCAAACAAACCACTCTAAAGCTGAAATGTCAACTCAGAACTAGAGGGGAAGGTCAACTGCTACAGAAATAAAATGAAACTAATTAAGACTAGGCTTTATACAAGAAAGATTCTAACGGAAATAGAATACTATCTGTAGTATATTGGCATTCACAAAAGCAATCTCTAAAAACATGTATCAATCAAGAAAACTCTTCCATAAGGTACTGCATGAGATATAGTTGACCGTGACCATAACTTGTTATTCTAAAGTGGTTCTTCTCATCTCATCTTCTCTTCCCTACATTCATGAGTTTTCTCAAAATGGCATAAAGTAGCATAATTTCCACTATTAATCTCATGGTGATGTTATAAAACCCAGTGGTTAAGAATATAGCTGACATTACTCTGAACTATAATAAATCAACTGTATAAAATAATATACTTGTCTCAAAGTTAAAATTTGCCAAAGAATTTTCCCCCATATATGTTATTGTCATGTATTGTTATTATTTACTGTCAAGTCAGAACTGACCCCTAGCTGACCCGCCAAAGGCTTTTCAGAGGCAGTTAATCGCACAGGAAGAGACTGTCCATCCTTCTCCCATGGAGAAGTTGGTGGATTTGAACTGCGTGTGTTCGGGACTGTAGCACAGCTTCTTGCCTTTAGGCCCCCAGAGCTTCCTGATATAGTTAATATCATTTTCATGTATAGTGCTAGGTAAAGTTTCAAAAGTATTCTTTTCCCTCTTATATCCAAGAATTAAAGAGGGCAACACTATAGCTTGCTTTAAGATAGAACAAATACTTATCAAGATGACAATTTTTCATTTTAGTTAGCATATGAACACGATTTTAAGCCAACTATACCAAGTAAACTAATACTATAATCACCATGTAGTTGATTTGATACTGCAAACCACATAATTTTTACAATAGTACCCATATTTTCAAGTAAATTGAATAATCTAATGTTTTTAAGACATCTCATTTACGCTATGAAATAAGGCACTTAAAATGGCATTCAGACATTTCTTAATATGTACTTTTAGAGTTATAAAAACCTATTTTCTGCAATATGATGTGACTTTTTCAGATATGTTACATAAAGTTAAAATGAAACCTATTTTCCATCACTCAACTTAAATAAAGCACACTAATTATGTGGAATAACTGCTAATGGGGGGGGGACCTAAGAATGGATGCAAATAGTAAGGTTATCAATGTCAAACATTCTAAAGGACTCCAGACACATCATCTACACCCATAGACACAACAGCAAATCCTCTAAGCCTTAAAGTAGGTTTTAATGTGCATATTAAATATTTGTCGAGTCAATTCAGAACAGAAGGAGAATCACTGCTGTCAAGTTGTGGTGATGGTGAAGAGTAGTAGGACCTGATACTAATAATGTCCCAGGGGCTGTTAAGGAACTAACAAGTCTGTTAATGACCAATGTGCTCATTAGAGGCAACAATTATGGAACTTTGCCTCACACACTTTGGGCATGCTGTCAGGAAAGTGAAGTCCTTAGAGAAGGAAATCATACTAAGAAAGGTGGAGGGTCAGAGAAAGAGAGGGAGATCCTTCCCAAGAAGGCTTGACACAGTAGCTGTAACAACGGCTCAATCAAGTCAGAAATAAGGAGGCTGGTACAGGATAGGACAAGGTTCTGATCCACTGCTGATAAGGTTACAATGAGTGAAACAAGACAGCACAAAACAACAACAAAGATGTTAATCAAATCAGCAGTGACAAATTCCTGAATAAGTGGTGTTTAAACAAATTTCTAGCCAGAGGAAGAAACAGTGAGGACTGAGAGAATAAAGCTATATCTGTAATGTCACTTAGGCAAAAGAAATTCAGAAGGAATCAAAGTTTGACAAAGCTGTGCTGTGATTCCAGAGGAACGTGCTTCACATCCACCACCTGCCCCATGGAGAAGAATGTGTAATCTCCTCCTGTGCGATTTACTGCCTTTGACAACCCACAAGAGGATCAGCTATGGGTCAATTCTGAATCGATGACACAAAACAGCATACTGAATGTAAGTTTGGAAGATAAAAAGGTAAGATTGATTTTTATTTTCATAAAAATATAAACACTTGGGAGTGCATAAATGGATAGGTTCTATAATATATTACTGGTGAATGTAAAACTGATACAATTTATTCAGATGAGAATTTTTAAAATATTTATCACAAAATCAAAAGCAACAAATACTTATGGGTAAAAGGATGTTGAGTCTGGACTTGCCTTTAAAATAGCCTGAGGAGAGGAACATTTCCATGGGAGAGTTGGAGGGAACACAAATGAAACAAAAACATGCACAAATTAATACTGGTTACAGCTGAATGGTGGGCATGTGGTTTATTATACTAGTCTCCCTACTTCTGTATATGTTTGAAATTTCCCAGAAAGCTCTTACTCATGTGGGTGCCCTTTAGCCCAGTAATCCCACTTCTAGGAATTCAGCACACAATAATATAAATATAAAGATGCACTTCTCTGTGGCAATGAAGGGAAAAACATGACAATAACCTAAATGTCCATTAGTGGGCTGGTTGAATAAACTGTTGCTTCTCCTTAATATTATATAGTCACATATCTTTAAAAAGTATGAGTCTTAAAATGGTAAGTCTATATGAAATAGATTATGGAAAGGGAGAAGCATTAACAACAGAAGACTAGAACCATTTGACCATATCTAAATAAAAGCAAAGTATATGGATTTGTGAATGCATATGATACATGGTACGTGTTCCCTTATTCACATCAATTTTCAGGAAAGATGCTCTCAAATAACTTACATTGTTTGTCAGGGGATAGAAATTGGGGAATTTGAAAGGGAGAAATTAAAAATATACCTTTATACTGTTGAATTTCATTTTTTAAAAGCATGTAAACATATTCATGTCATTTATAATAAGAATTAGGTTTTCTTTTCTTTACTGAGGGGATTATTATTTCCTATGTAAAGGAAAAGTTAATGCTGTTGAGGTGATTGTCTCAAAGTACACTTACACTTTATAAAGCAGAAAAGATAAGACCTGCTTTCACCGCCATCCCCATTCCAGATGTGCACCACAGCTTTATCTGAGTCCTGTTGAACTATGTTAAATTCTAATATAACAAGTAATTGCTCTGAAGATGTAAAAAAGATCCTTCGTTGGTGATAATTAAGCAATTAACAATAATCATGTACTTGGTTCCATGGGGAATTCAAAGGAGTAAGACCATAGCCCTTGCTTAAGAGGTTTATAACTTAAAAAGAAAAAATATTTATGCAAGGAACAATCAAAGATTAATTAACGTCAAGCAAACATTGTGGGCTGAGAAAAGATGTATGAAAAGAGTCAAGTCAAACGGATAAAATGAAGGAATTTAAAAATGTGCAACTGCCGTTATATACCATCAAGTGAGAACCGATTCCTAGTGGACCCTCCAATGAGTTTTCAGAGGCAGTAAATCAAATGGGAAGAGATTGCTCATCTTTCTCCTGCACACAGCTGGTAAATTTGAACCATGTGCCTTTGGGTTCATAACAAAAATTGCTTGCCACTAAGCCACTAGAGATGCCCCTTGGATAAGTTGCTGTGGTTATTAGGTCCTGTTGAGTTAGAACCAACCCACAGTTGATCCTCCAGCAGCTTTTCCGAGGCTGTCAATGGAGAAAACTGCTCATCCTTCTCCTTGGTGCTGCTGGTGGATTCAAACCGCATGCTTTTGAGTTGTCAGGTCAACTCCTGACCACTCAGCCACCAGAGCTCCCTAAGTGGGATCTGATAAGTCGGCCAGAAAGACTGCACAAAATTTTTAAAAACTGAGATAGTCAGAACTCTGTATGATTGGAGATACAGGATGGAAGAAGCTTGAAACAGTGTGCTAAAAAGAAGTTCAATGTCACATATTTCTTTAAACCAGACAAAAATTAAAATTTCATAAAATAGAGAAGAGTTTGGCAGTATTGTGCAAGGTAGGCTATTTCCATGCTACTGCTTCAAATCTGGCTTGGTTTCTTGGCATAAAGAAGAAAATAATAAACATTATTTCAATACCTCACTTCCAGACTCTAATGGTCTCTTCTTCCTTGGTCCAATAGCTGCAAGAGCTGTGAGATTGGCATCCCTTTGCTGTATCTGTGCAAGCTCCAACTGTTGTAACTGGAAGACAGCAGGAGAAAGGGAATCAATGTTTATACACAGTCATGCTCAGAGGGAGAACGACACCAATCACTAAATCTCTTTCTGAACTCTTCCCCAAATACAGTCATACAGCACAAATTAAATATTACTAGCTCCTCCTAATAGCCCATTCCCTGAGTCCTTTACTCCAACATCCTCTTTCGTCCACAATCTCTTAACAGCAGAGGAAGAATTTAGGGAAACCGGAAGTATAAAATACAAGAAAAGCAAAGCATCTGACATTTCATCTTTCCCAGGGTGGGAAATTACTTCAGAATAAGACCAACAACGGGCTAAAGGCAAACCAAACAGCAGTTAACATCTTTGGACTTTTAAAAACCAAAATATTTTTTTGGTACATTATGGTAAATAATTCTACAGATTTACAAAGTGCTTCATCAAATATTAAATCTTTCTTCTTATAGCCACATTAAATTATACATATTAATGACACAATAGGATAAAATTTAGCATATATTTAATCCCCTTTTTATTACTGGAGACAGTGAGGTTCTAAATTATTAGGAAAACTGTGAAAAGGTCATTAAAGTAGCACTTGGTAGAAATTGCACTAGGAGACCAATGTTGACTCTCTTTCCACGCTGTATTTATTTTCATGGCAAAAAATGCAAAGGGATTTAGCACTACTACGCTGTACAGTTTTTATCTAAATCTATAAGGCACATCAGTTAATAGCCTGGTAGATGGGTAAATCTAGTTAGTTTATCTAAATACCAGTTATTTATTTGCTAAACTATGAGTGACAATGGCACCCAACTCCTAGGTTTACTGCAAAATTAAATAATAATTTACATAAAACACTTAATATGTGACATATAATAAATGAAAGCTGCTGGCAATGATGATGATGCAGTTATCAATCCCAGAAATAGTTCTCTCTAAAGAAACTTCTACCCATAAAAGATGCCTTACTTATAGGCAGATGGGCAACGTAGTAAAGCTGGAAAATGAATATATGACTGCATGAATGCATCATTTCATCAAGGCATATTACGTGACAAGCAGTTGTTGAGGTGAGAGGGACAAAGTACAAAGCAAGTACTATGACATGAATTCTTAAGCTTTATTCAGAAGAGAAAGAATGACTGATCTCCATCAAAATCTTATTATGGAGAAAAAGAAGAAAGAATATGTGGCTACTGGTAGTCAAATATTCAAATAGACTCCAACTCTAAGATGATTATCAGAAAGTAACTCATTAGATTGATTATATAGAGGATACATGAAAATATTCTCTTAAAAGAGGAACCTAATTTTTAACATATGAACAGAATAAAAATAGTTTATCATGAAATAGTCTCACGGAGATCCAAAGAAAAGAAAGCCCACCTTAAGATCATTTCAGATGATTTTACACACACACATACACACAGAAGGTAAACACACACATACACTGTTACATGCTGCAGAGTTCTTCTACGACTCACAGCAACTCTACAACAACAGACTGGCACCCTGCTCTATCTTGCATTATTCTCAGAGTCTGCCATACTTGAGCTTATATAGTTATCCTGTCAATCCATCTCGTTGAAGGTCTTCCTCTGAATCTCCACCTTTCCCAGTATGATGCCCTATAACAAAGGCTGGCCCCTCCTGACAACATGCTCTATGTATATCAGACAAAATGTCCCCATCCTTACCTCTAAGGATCAGCATATTTAGACATATGCATGCATACACCCAGAAACCAAACTCAATGTTATGGACTTATCACTCTAAGGGACCTTCCATCAGATTTCCAAGGCTGTAAATATTTCTGGGAGGAAGCTGCCTTTTCATTCTCTCAAAGCAACTCGTAGATAGATTCCAAGTGAACTTTCTGTTAGCAGCACAACATGGAAAGGACTATGCAACCACATCAAGCAGCAGGTGCTTCAGATCCATCAGCTGCTCTGACAGAAAGACAGACGATCTCCTTTCATGGAGCTTACAGCCTCTGATAACTCATGGACTCAGTTATGAACTAATTCTGGCTCAACAGCCAATTGAGTTTGAACAGAACCTTTAGTAGGAAGACAATGAGTTAAGAATCACCTTCTCTTTGTCCTACAAATTTCCAGGCAAATATTATTTTAAATGTGTTTACTTATAAATAAAGGAGCTCTGGTGGCATAATCCATAAGGAAGCTGCACTGTTAACGTAAAGGCAATGCTTCTCTGGCTGTTCAAATCCAGCAGCTGCTCTAGAAGACAAAGATGGGCAATCTTCTGCCCTGGAATTTACTCTTCAAAGTCAGCCCGAATCTGGAACAAAGGGTGCAATGCAGACTGGGCTGGGCGGGAGGAGAAAATGCACAACAAAGAGGAGAGAAGAAAAAAAAAAAATCTGCCGCGGGCCAACTATTACAAACAAATAGCCAGTAAAGTACTTCAGAAACTACAAAATGCATTTTTAACAATAGCATATAATTTTAGAACCTGATGCTGCCACAATCCAAAACTTCTGGGTGACAGAATAGTTCTAGTTAATCTACCCTGAGGCACAAATCAGATAGCATGATAGGTTCTTAAATCCTGTCTTGTAAAGAAAGGGCATCAGCAAGGTGCCTTTGCATCAGTGAAATTTACCAAACGATAAATTGTAAACTGTCTTGTCTTCCTAATGAGCTAGGGAATTAGCTAGACTGGTGCTAATCCTTTATGTTTGGTAAGTTATAAAATGCAAGCTTCTGAGCCTGAAGAATTAGTTAGTGGAAGGTTGTAACTAAATAGTAATAATATTTAATAATTATACTGTTTACTTCATCACCTTGGCACAGACATGACCTAGGGTGAAAATCCATCGCTTATTCCTGATATCACAGATTTGTCGTCTTTGTCAATTTCACTAGATATTTATCAAATTTACTGCTCAAAGAACTAGTGCTTGGTTTCACTGATTTGACTTTCTCTTTCTAAAGTTATTTCTACTTACATTTCTACTCAGTTATTTTTCTATTTTAAAGTAAAAACTCAGTGATGTAAGAGTTTTCTAACCTTTAATAGTACAAATTTCCATCTTCCCTGCTTTTAGCTGTATCCCAAAGTTTAGATGCTATATTTTTATTTAGTTAAAAATATTTTCAAATTTCCTTTAAGACTTTGTTAATCTACAGACTATATAGAAGTATATTATTTTATCTCCAAATGTTGCCATTTTTATTATCTTCTATAATTAAATTCTAGTTTAAATAAATTACAGTTTAAAAAGATCCTTTGTGTGCTGATAATTATTTGAAATTTCTTAAGGACTGCTTTCTGATCAACGAGCATTTTTTGGTAGTGTTCTATGTATATCTGACCAAAACATGCATTCTGTTGTTGCTGAGGGAATATTTCCTAAATGTCCATTAGATTTAGTTGACTGATTTTGCTGATTTTCTTTGTCTATATATTACTGAGAAGCGAGTGCTGAGATCTGTCAGTTTATAAGAATTTGTTTATTTCTCCTTTCAGTTCCATTAGTTTTTGCTTCAGTGGTTAGGTGAACACATACTTTGGATTATTATAGATCTTCTTGGTGGATTAATCTTTTGTTGTTGCTGTGTACTCTCAAGTCAGCACTGACTCACAACTGACCCTCCAGCGGGTTTTCAGAAGTAGAAAATCCCACGGAGGAACCTGCCCACCTTTCTTGCACCCAGCAGCTTGTGGACTTGAACCGCAAGCCTTTGGTTTGGCAGCACAGCTCCTTACCAGTAGACCACCAGAGCTCTATTACTGTTATTATTACACGATACTAAAAGAGTCAACCTTTTCTGGGCATTTCATATAGATATGGCACGCAGAGAAGATGCAGGGAAGAGTTCTGCCAAGCAGTCGGCCAATAACTTCGTGGCTCACCTGTGAATGCAAGATTTCATTTGCTTCATCATTCTAACACCAGTGATTTTTGCATTCCTTTGGACTGCAAATTCTAAAGTTCTTAAAGTTCACCTCCATATTTCAATTTAATTCTTTTTAAAATTATCATACAGTAAAAATGACTCCCATCATCACCAGAAGTTGTGTTTATTTGAACATGTGCCACTGAGTGGACCACAACTCATACAGAGCCTCTGAAGATCCAGGTTACTCTTTTAGGATCATGTAATAATCCCTATTATCTCTGCTCTGCTCTTTATTTCATGGCTTTAGAATCTCCTTCACCTGATGTTAATTCAGCTACTCTAGATTTCAGCTTAAATGTTTGCAATTCACATTCCTCCTATCCTTTCAGTTTATCTAGATATCAGATATCTAGCTCTATCAATAAATCTGAACTGTAGACAGCTCAGTTGTGGCTTCTGAAAATCCATTTTGACAATATCTATCATTGGTCTAATACTTAATGTGATCATTCATATCTAGAGTTAGTAATCATCACCATTTTATTATCTGCTTTGGGTTTGAGTGAATATTTCAAATATTCTATTTCATCTAATTTTTTTCTGTATTTCCTTGTAGATCTTATTCGTTTTGTTTTAACAGACTCAAGATTACAATATATACAGTATCATATCATTCCTGGCCTACTCATAATCAGTGTTTCACCACCTAAATTGGAATGTACATCTCATTTGGCATAGTTGTTTTCCATGTTTCATATGCATACACTGAAAATTCCTGAAAATCACTCTAATTGTTCTTTATTTAATCCTGATGTTCAAAATTTCCTTTTGGTATAATTTTACCTTCAATCTGCAGAATGTCCTCAAGCAATTCTTACATGAGCAATTCGGTGATCAACAAATTCTCAAAAAAAACCCCAAAACACCAAACCCCCCCCAAGGAAACCACACAACAAAACCAACAAACAACCAAGCAAACAAAAAAACTGAGATAATGTATTTCAAACAATTTGCCAATTCAACAATTTTCACAACTCAGTGACATTAAATCCATAATACTATACAATCATTACTACCATCCTTTTCAAATTCTTCTACCAAACATATTTTCAGTAATGTTTGTTTTGAAACATGATAATCCCTCTGCAA